CGAGAAATTAAAATCCGTCGGAAATTCCGTCGGTAAGGACGTTTCCGACGGAAATTCCCTCGATATAACCCAAATTTCCAACAAATTGATCTCCGAGAACGTGTTCCGACAGAATTCCGTCGGAAACTGGTCTTTCCGACGGATTTTTAAGGCATACCGACGGAATTTTTCCCTCGTAAATTAGCTGTTTTCTAGTAGTGTGAGCCTTATCCTTACTCTCCTCTACAGTCTGGGGTGTCCACCGACCGGAGACCGCAGCCGAAGAATTCGGCGCCATCAATGACCCAGACTTTTGAGGAGAATCAGCATTCCTCCTGACTTGACCACTACCAGCCGTAGAAACTTTAGGATCAGCCTCTGTTTGAATGGTGGGAGTAGAACAAGAAGAATTACTAGCAGCAGCTGAACCATGTTTAAACTTAGCAGGGATTAGGCGTGTCTCACCCATACGGGCAGCATCGTAGACCTCCAGCACCTCAAAGGGATACGAGGGATACCCTGGAGTCTTGATAACAGGCTTCCAATTATCGTCCACACCCAATAATGCCTTATCCAACTTGTCATAGCCTGGGAAGAAGAAAGGAAATTAGTCACAATGTCACATAAACAAAACAAAAATAACAAGTAAAACGCCAGGCAAGGCATGAGGAACTTTACCAGACTCATGAGTCGAACATAGACGAATGGCAGAATGCTGAGCATTACCTATAATATATAAGCCAGTTGGAAAGCCACGTTTTGAGTGCATAAGTCTCACCCTTAAAGTGGGTATAGGCCTGAGCTTCTTTGATAGCGTCAATCGTCTGCAAAGTGATACCCCCCATATTTGACCTCACACAGCAAAAAGAGCGAGGGCACCCAAAATCAACAGGAACGCATAGCCTGAAGAATTTCCCTTCCCAATCCTTGAAATGACCCAACTTGAGGTAAGACAAGACTCTCTTAGGCTTGGGCGCAAGATAGAACCAACCAGAATCAGCACCAAAAGCACTTCGTTTGAAACTAAATAGAGACTGAAATAGAGACAAAGACTCAGGGAAGCATTTGAAACGCACCGTCTAGAGCAAACAAATTAAGGTGTGCAGAGATGCTGGCAGAATCAGTGAAAGAGGAATGTTGAAAGCACACAACAGCTTGTCCAAGGTTGGATCTTGGGGAAACCTTAACCCTACATCAAAATGAGAAGCAAACACAACAATATGACCATCATAAGGGCTAGAAAGGCTGGCCCCAGCTTTAGGCAACACCAATTCATAGCCTGATCCCAACACATAAAAAGAATTACCACACTCGGCCAGCTTTAGACGGTCTGCCAATAACCGCCAGTCAGAGCTCAAGGTGCAGAGCCTGGGACCTTCAGCCTTCTCGTCCAAGTAGAAGGTAGCATCGCTGGAGGGACCACATCACTTACATACCAGGGCTGGCAGGCATTCAGAGCAGCGTCACCAGGGGACTGTTGAGGAGCAGCCATTGGATTAACAGCCGAAGTCAAGCTGCGCACTGCATAATGACACTACTACATTTAAGAGCTAATACAACGGCTTTTTCCGTTGTATTAGGTGTAAAAAACCGTTGTATTAGACCTAATACAACGGCTAGCAACCGTCACATTAGCTGGGCTTGGATTAGGTCTAATACAACGGCAAAAGTGACCTAATCCAACGGATTGAGCAATCTGTTGGATTAGGTTCCCTTTTTTGTTTTTGGGAATAATTAGACCTAATCCAACGGATTGAGGAATCCATTAGATTAGGTATCTACCTAATCCAACAGATTGCTCGCCCAATCCGTTGGATTAGGTCCTTTTTTTTTAATCCGTTGTATTAGCCCTTTTTTTTCTCTTTTGATACCGTTGTATTAGACCCTTTTTGTTCTTTTTTTTTTTTTTTTGAAAAACCGTTGTATTAGGTAATTTTTTTAATTTTTTTTTTGGAATATATAATTATATATTATACCTAAGCTATATATTATATATAATTAATTATTGTAAATCTAAAAGGTATAATATATAACAAATATAAATTATATTAGTATATTTATAATTAAAAATCAACGAAGTGCATATAATATATTCGTTGGATTACAAAATAAACAAAGTGCCGATACTAACTAATAATAAATGAAAGTTCACTAATTAATTAACAATCGTTTGAAATAAAATTAGTACTTGCAATAGATACATAAAATCAACATTAGTCCGTACTTCATTCATCCCGGGGTAGCTCATCGTCATCAAGCACCTACATGTAAAAATAATAATAATAATAATATATTAGGACAAGTAATGTATATAAATCAACTTTTAGGGACAAGTAACAAATAATATAATGCATATAAGCCAAACAAAAGCTAAAACAAGTAATGCATAAGCCATAACACCACCAACAACACAACGCACAACAAAACACACAACGCACAACAACACAACAACACGACACAACACCACACAATGCAGCACACAGCAGCAGCAGCAGGCGGGCAACAGCATGCAGGCAGGTAGCAGCAACGGGCAGGCAGCAGCAGCGGCAGGCAGGCTTAATTATTTACTGCCACTACCTTTCAACAAGCTTGAACACAATTAGCCACTGCTCATCTCTTCCAGGAGTTAGGCACCTCTAATTTTTGAAAGGCAAGCAAGGAAACTTGATTTAGTCTTTTGAATTCTTCATTTCCAAAAATTTAGTAGATTCTTCCTTATTTTCTATCAAGTACCAACCTAATCAGCTGTTAGTAGGCTAGAACTTAGCCAAGCCCCTAGGCACCAAGGCCAAGAAAGCTCAATCACGTCTCATAATTGACACCTAACATGATCAACACAATGAATATAGGAGGAAGAATGTAAGCCACCAATAGATCCTTGGCAGGAGCCACAGAACCCTATAATCCCTATTGAATGCTATTATTAGGATTACTTTTGATCAACTTTTATGGCACACCTAGGAGGGATACACCTGTTTCAACAGTGCTTAAGGATGTTCCGGCAAGTTTTAAAGTTTTGCAAAGGCCTGTTCTCAACAAATGCTAAACACAATTAGCTAGCTCATACTTGAGTCCCATTGCACATCGATGTCTATCTTTATGGTCTCATTATAGTAATTGGCTTCATTCGTTAGTCTGAAAGACAACTTACTGACAAATTTCAATATAACTTCCAGTGTTATACTTTTAGTCGTAGGGTTATTTTGATATTCATCTACCATTTGTTTATTTGCAATGTAGCATTGGAATTGTATCTTATGGGTCATTGTTTTTTGGATTTAGTTAAATTAAGTTTAAATTCTAAAATGATCTTCACTGCCATGCTTGCATTTCTGAACCTTTCTAAAAGTTTTCACCTTTGACATGTCCAAATGAAGTCTTTAATTCTTGTCTGAGGCATCTTTTAAGCTACTAAGCTGCCTTTAGCACACTGTTAGTATTTTTGCCTATCATTGCTGAGACACCTGCCTAATTCAATTGCAGGAGCTCTCTTTTTTGGAACTAGATAACAACATCCCCACTGGTAAGCTGCATGTTTTACTATATTAATAATTGCTCACATCTGGCCAGTTATAGGCATTTAATATCCAATTGTAGAATTATGGTTAACATTAGCTTTCTGTATCAGATTCTCAAGGGGCTCAAACGGGAGATACCATGTCTGCGAGGACCAGGTCACCATTATGTTTACTAAACATTTTAGGCTTCATTAGCATTTTAGGCTGAATACTGTGAGATTAAACTTGTGTTTTTGGGGTGCAGGGCAGTGGCTCAATTTCTGAAAAATCATTCTCCTGTATCCAACTTCGCAAATGGTTCTGATAATTTAAGTTTAAGCACCATATTGGAAGGGAGACGAAGGAAGTTATGTGCACAGATGTTTTATGAAACTTTGGTAAGTCTTAAAATATTTCAAGGTTTTCTTAGATTGGATTAGGTCTTTAGGAGTACCTCTCAGGTTCATGAAATCCCTCACTGACTATTTGATTGAACTTTTTATTTTTTGTGCTACACTGTGACAGGGATTGTCTCTTATATATTGGTATGTTCATATTTCTAAGCTTTCCCCTAGTATTAGCTGCCTAAACCCTAAAGATGGACAGTTATAACTATGAGAAATAGTGTATTTCATCAAATCAGTTGATTAATATATACATAAGAATTCAAGATTCAACGCAAAATGATTTAGTATTTTAGTAATCACATTTCTGATAGTTTCTACTAAATTCACCTTGTTAGCCCAAATTTCCCCTGCTATAACAACACAACACCACCATTTGTTGTTTCTATTCAGAGAAGTTTAGAAAAGAAAGTTCAGAGCAGAGAAGTGCATATTGTACCTGATTAAATGATTTTGAAGATTGTCCACTTTGGGCAGTATTTCGATTTGGTGCACTAGATGCATCATGCGGAGTCAATTGCTGCAGAGTACTAGGAACCACAAGATTAATCCCGGGGTTCACCTCGCGAATCGAATCCAAAACTGCAGTGGTGATAGTAGGTGCAATTTCTTGGACTAATTGTGCTTTTATGCCTACTTGGAATTCCTCCGGGAGTATGAAACTTGACTTTGTATCTTTGTTCTTCAAATCACTCTTCTTCACACCCGAGCCATATAGATGCACACGACTTCTGCGTCTAGGAGGTGGAATCACTTCATTGTAAGGGTCATTGCATACATTACCATCTTCTTGTGATTCTGCTGACTCCAAAGCATCAATTTTGGCCTGTTTAGGCAAACATAGTAATATGTTACTAATTATCGAATAACTAACAATATTTAGGCGTACAATGTTACTAAATATCGAATAACTCACAATATTCTCTTTTTCTTTTTCAGAGCTGCTAATGTATGTCCTTTCAGTACTTCTTTTTCTTGATTCCTTGTAAACCTTTGCTTGAGAAGGTTCTTTCTTGTCTGGATCTTGTTGTTTCTATATATATGTAAATCATAATATATGAAATTAGAATAAAAGTATATGCAACATGCCTATAATTTAGATTTTACAAAATGTACTTACCAACTCATGGCGTAAAATAGCATATGATTTGCGTCCCAAAGTATGCATATCATCTAACATTAGACGATTGCCATTGTTGCTGTCGCTAATTGCTTAAGGAAAATCGGGAACCACCATTTAATTCAAAATTAAACACATATTAGATAAAATTATTTCAGGAAATTAGATTAGAATCAATATACGTACAGTACCTTCGCCTCATCGGTATGCCAATATTGTAGAAGATCTTGGAACATCTGTTCGGAGATTGTATCTGGTTTATGTTTCCACCTTAAATCATCCGTATCATATGCATAGAAGTGTTTCTTCTTGATTTGGCATTTGTAATATTTCCAACAACTATTTATAGCATCCATCACCCAATTAAACCCGGCATGGGGGACCATATACTTTTCCTGTTCAAGCTAAAACATTAGTAACGTGTTGAGGTGTACGTGTAATGCAACTAAGACAGTATCACTTACCTGGACATAATCCAATATCTTATCAAGTGTCGGTAGGCTTGGAAAATTTCTGTAGTTAAGCGGTGCAAGTTCGGAATCCCTTGCCCCCGTTCCCAAAAAAAACTTGAACTCTTGCACAATCTCCTTTGTAGGTCCAACTGGCTGACCTAATGAGTTCAGAACAATCACAGGACGCTCCTCTCGTGAACGTGCGTGAACTCTTTGGACCATTGTTCGACCTCGTTTTTTCCTTTTCAAGGACAATTCACTTGATGTTTCTGTGGTAATAAACACTAGTCAAATGGATGGATTTGTTTTCATGTTCCTTGAATTTGTTCTTAACAACATTATTCACAATTAATCGGCATTTCAACATGAAAATCAGACCAAATCAATCACACATTGAATTAAGCACACCATGAATTAAACTTATGTAAACATCGAAACATGTTGAGGTTAGCCTAGTAGTTAGAATTCAATCTTCCTAAAAAAGTTTGTAGGATCAAATCCCGGAATTCTTAAAAGGCAGCCATCAAGACTTAAGCATATATATTTTATACACTGCTCCTTAACCCAAATAATCTACAAAAATGATTATATTATGAACTCAGCGTATTCAAATCCACAGAAAAAAAAAATAAATAAATCTTCCTGACTAAACAAAGGGTTAAAAAAAATTCAACTTGTTTCTAATTTATCCCCTTGTTTGATGGTAAATATAGATCATGACCATTCTAAACTCGTAAGCGAATATTTACAAACCAAGTAACACAACAAATTCGTGATCCAGATAATACTACCACTATGGCCCACACGGTTTCCAAAATGTAGTCAACATATTTATGCAATCAACACAGTCTAGAAAACATATTTGCATTAACAGAGTAAACTCATACAAATTCAAACCTTTCACTTGCACATATACATAATTCCATAAATAAAAATTCCATAATATTACGGGTCTGGATAGCATATTTAAATCACCTGAGAAAATTTATACCTGAGTACTATTTTAAAATAAAAAAAATCAGTTGAAAGAGTCTCTTTAGCTTCAGAGGTGCTACAAGACATCGCTACACCCTCAATGAATGTTGACCAACTCACACAGAGCTTTTACAGAAATCTGACACAGGAAGAAATGGTCACCCTATTAGGTATCAATAGTGAGGGTGAATTTATCTTTAACTTTGGTTGGACTTTCACATAGAAATATGCCTGGCCTTCCACTTTCAGAATTTACCAAAAGTCACAGAATAATGTACTATTCAGTTACGAGTCAGGACTTAGGAGTCCCAACACAAAGTAGTCAGTCAAATCATGTTTCCATCTAAAGGTCCTAATAAACAGCTTTTAGTTTTCAAGCAGAACTAGCAATTAGATAACATTCTTATTAACTCTTCGATGTTAGCTATCCAGTAATAAACTAGCTAATAAAATCCAAATCCATTTTAGCTAGTCATGACAGGTTTTGAATAGCTATCAACAAACACAAAGGTCGAACTGGGTTTTCTAGGTTTAAAATTATCCAATTTATACTAAAGTTCATTTGCCTGAATAAGTCTTGAACAGTTGAGCTTGAACACTTGAACCTAAGTCCCTAATCTATTGAGGACCTTAATCTGACATCAAATTCATAAACCCACTCATCATATATACAAAGCCACCCAAGCTTTAAGCCACAAGCTCAAGTTGATCACATAAATTTCACAATTGATTTCAGCATCAAGATACCAATTCAGCAATATAATTCAATTCCACCACGTAAAAAAAAGAGACTTGACCTGCATTCCTACAGATATTGGTGGAAAGCAGCAGAAATGTTGTTTTAAGTATAGGACTAATAGGAAAATGCAGCCCAGCTTTCTGAGAGAAATCAAGGACTGACTACAAAATGCTTCAGGAATGTAACTACACACTACATCATTTCTCAGAGTAAGAAACATAATTCATAATTACATAAAGTTAATTAGTCTCATGCTAATCCCAAAAGTATCTTCCAAATTGATACTCCCTACAAATACCTGTCGAAATACCCCCTTTCTACCACCCTGCCCTACAAATACCTGAAAGTTAATTAATCTCATGCTACACCAATTTGAAGAGCAAAATCCTCTTCTTTTCTTTGTTAGCTCCTATCTTTGTTCTTGTACATGAAGTACATATATGTATGTATGTATATAACAAGAATATCATGATCAGAATATACCTTCCATTCCAAACTGTGCTACAACTGCTCGGTCCGCTGCTTCATTGCCCTCACAATCTTCCTGAAGAGCATCAGCGGTCTCATTCAGCTGCTCATCATCATAATTTTTCCCTTGTTCAGGCACCTCACTGCTCATCATCAGCGCTTCATCTTTTTGTCGTTTCCGAAACTCGAGGTACGCTGACATTGAGCCAGGAGAACAGAACTCTCTTTTCTTCACAGATGCCTTTGTTAACCCCAATTGCTGTTCTTGCTGCTTCCTTTGAATTTCCCGTGCAGGAACTGGATGTTGTTGAGAAGAGACCTATAAAACAAAAGCGAAACAAGTAATGCATAAATCAAACAAGTAATATATATAAATAATACATATATATACAAAGCAACAAATTCAAGTTACTGAAGATACCTTTTCACATACTTGTCTTTTTCCGGTACCAAGAGTTTCCTGTTCCATATCAGAATCTCCTGAGGAGCCATCATCTGTCTGCCTCACACTCTGCCTCACACTCGAACAAAGTATGTCGCGTGTTTTTTGTTGCAGTATCTTATTCGCCAAGGATCCCGATCCTTGGGCTGACATTCTTTCAGCATTATACTTCAATTTTCGGAGCCTTTGTAACTCATAGTCTAAAAGCTGACTTTGGGAATCAGAAGCTTTTGCTTTACTCTCCTTCATCTGCAAAGCCATTCAATGAGAACATGTTTACAAACCATAAAAGATAATAATATGAAAAACAATGCAATATAATATAATATAATATAATATGGAAAGCAATGCAATATAATGTAATATAAATTGTTAGGGAAAAAACCATCAGAAAGCTCTCTAGGAGGGATTTGAACAGCATAATGCCAACCATCTCTATTAAGATCTTCAACATAAAACACTTGATGTGCTTGAGATGCCAAGATAAATGGTTCTTCTTTAGAAATCGTCTTACACATATTAATCATTCATCATCATCTTTTTCAGAGTGAAACCACACACACTTAAATAAGACGACACAAAAGTAGCCATGGTAAGATATTGAAATGATGTCTGTTATTGAACCATAATAATTAACATTAGCCTCAATAGGATTTTGATCTTTGGAACTCGCAAAGCTATATGTCATGGCCGTTAGAGTGACTCCACTATTTTAAGTTACATAATTAGCATCGCGCTTCATGGTATGGAACCTATAACCATTGACTGAGTACCCTGTATACTTTTTAGCAATGTAAGAAGGCCCTTTTGATAACCATATGATATTGTTAGGGATGATGTCTTGACCCTCTTCAACAATGAAATCAACTTTCTCCCTAAACCAATCCACAAAATCCTTGCTGTGATCTTGAACGCTATTCCATTTCCTTTTTCCTCTAGCGCTTACAAATTCCTTGTGCTCACTATGAAATATAAAAAGATTATTTTATTAACACTACAAATAAAACATATTGAAAACCAAGAGCAAAAGAAAAGAAACTACATTTTAGTTGGTAATCTAACCTTATATATTTCTCAACTTCCTCGCAATCACAATTGAACAATACATAACGATGCGCTTGTACCCATTGATTGTGATCAAGTATGTGTTCACGGTCTATTTTCTTTGATGTCCTTCCTTTCCCTTTTATTGGACGTCCTAACTTAGGAAGAAATGATTGTGATGTACTACAAGCATTAACCTGAGGTGTGGCCGAGTTTGATCCTTTCAAAAATCTAGCTACAAAGGCAACACATTATTTGGCTAGATATCCTTCTGCCATTGAGCCTTTTGGACGAGCTTTATTTCGAACATCTTGATTCAGTCCATGAAGATACCTCTCAATCCCATACATACACCTTGAACTTACAGGTCCACCCAACTTAATTTGGCCCACCAAGTGTAGAGGTAGATGTACCATTATATCAAAAAAGGCAGGTGGAAAAATCCTCTCAAGTAGGCATAATGTTTCAACTATCTCAGATTGCAATTTTTCAAGATGTTGAGGATCAACAGTTTTACTCCATATACTTTTAAAAAAAGCACAAAGTCTAATCAAAGGAGTAGCAACATCTTTGGATAATGTTGTCTTAACTGCAATTGGGAGCAAATAATTCATCATAAAATGCGCATCGTGGCTTTTGTAGCCTACAATTTTCCTTTCCCCAACTTGTACACATCGACCAATGTTAGAAGCATAGCCTTGAAGAAGTTTGGAATTTTTGAAGACTTGGCAGAACCTACGTTTTTGCTCCAATGGCATCCAACAGCGGGATCTTGGAAATTCTTCGCCACCATCTTCCAATTCTCTTGGTTGAAGCTCCGGCATCAAATTAAGCTCTACCAAATCTCGACGAGCACTCACATGATCCTTGGTCTTTTGAGAAATGTCTAACAATGTCCCAATGACACTATCAAACACATTTTTCTCAATATGCATTACATCGAGGTTGTGACGATTAAGACAATGCTTCCAATATGGTAACTCGAAGAAAATGACCCTCTTTTTCCACGGGTTCGGATCATCAACATCACACCTTGGTTTCTTTTGCTTCTTTCCAAATTCATTTGGAAAATCGCACAACAGACTAGCTACATCAATTCCATTCAATGGAGTAGGTTGATGTCTTTCCTCAACTTTCCCATCAAAATTCCTCTTATCACGACGCCAAGGGTGAAATGGAGGTAGAAATTTACGATTTTCCCTATGCACATTCTTAGCACTATAAGGTAACCACTCAGAATCTAATTCATAATGACACTCAGGGCACGCCAAGTATCCTTTTGTGCTCCAGCCAGATAACATCGTGTAAGCATCGTGTAAGCAGGAAAATCACTCACGGTAGTCATCAATGCCACATGCATGTGAAACCTCTGGTTACTCAAAGCATCATAAGTTTCCAGTCCGAACTCCCACAAATCCTTCAAGTCCTTCATTAGTGGTTGTAAATATATGTCAAGGTCATTGCCTGGGGAAGAAGGACCCGGAATTAGTAGTGCTAACATCAAATACTCAGGCTTCATAATCAACCAAGGAGGCAAGTTGTAATTGATCAACATAACTGGCCAAGTACTATGTACAATACTCATTGAGTTGAACGGGCTGAAGCCATCTGTGGCTAGTCCTAGCCTCACATTGCGCGGGTCATCAGAAAACTCTTTGTAAAAGGAATCAAATTCCCTCCAAGCTTAACCGTGAGCTGGATGATGTAAAAGATGATCATTTTCACGCCCATCCGCATGCCAAGTCATGTATCTCGCCGTCTCTTGACACATAAACAGTCGTTGAAGCCTTTTCTTTATCGGAAAGTACCTAAGAATATTTTGAGGAATTCTATAGGTCTTTCCTTTACCATTATCTATGTCATCCTCTTTTTCCTTTGATTTCCATCTTGGTGTTTTACAAACATGGCAGCTTGTTGCATTTTCATGCTCTTCCCAATATATCATGCAATCGTTTGGACATGCATCAATCTTTGTATAATCTAACCCCAACACTTTCAAAACACTTTTTGCTTCATTGAAAGAAGTTGGCAACTTTGCATCAGGCAACACCTCCCTTATAAGCTCCAATATATCTCCAAATGCGGCATTGGTTAGATTATGATCACACTTCAAAATAAAAAGTCGAATCATGAAGGAAAGTTTTGAGTGATTTTTGGAACCAGGATACAATTCTTCTTTCCCTTCTTCAACTAACCTCAAAACTTTTTTGCCTCATCATTTGGCCCCTCTCTAAAAGCATCACGTGCATCATGCAACAACCTCACTACGTCATCGCTAGAGTCATTTGGGATTGACCCTTCATCATTATCCAAAATAGTTTCTTCTCTTTGGATATTGAACCATAAGTCTGATAACTTATCCGATCTTGGAACAAAACCATTACAAATTAGATGGTCTCTCACCACACCTTCACACCGCCAAAAACGATAATGACAAATTTGACATGGACAACAAATTTAATTTCCTTGAGACTTTATAGCAAAAGCCCTTTTGACATATTCGTCGACTCCCTGTTCATATTCATCGCTCCATTTGGCAAACATCCACCAATTCTTAGTTCCACCTTCCATTCCTTAGGGTAAAAATAGAAATCAACAGAGTAAATAGGAAAAATTATTTGATAATTCTAGAAGGCCTTGACTTAAGTCCCTAATTTAGCTGTTACATAATGTTCCATATTTTGATTGATGTGGATTAGAATTTAAAAACAAGAAAAACCCATATTTAATTTACCATTTACATCATACTGAACAATTGACATTCAACAGTAAGTAATGAACAGAAAATAATAAAGCAAACAATCAAATAGGCACAGGCACAGCTATTAGTTTCCATACTCTTGCATTTAAGTTCCTTGCGGTCCATAAATTTGTCGGTTTAAAAGTTGAAAGAGCTAACAAGTCAGATAGTTTGTGGATGTTAAAATAAGAAACTATCTTTCTTTCATAGTCCATAACTCCATACTGACTCTAATACCTTAATGACCAAAATAGTACATAATCTATCCCTGTATCGATAAGTACACTAATTTTACCCCAAAGAAAAGTAATATTGATTCTAACCACATTACTACAAACCCAAATCAAACTTTACAATGAAATACTTCAGATTAGTCAAAACCAATAAGTATAATTAGCAACCCACTTGAAAATATTAAAATTGAATCAAACCCAGATCATATTTCACGCTACTAATTAGTCAAAACAGGAAATTTGATGAGAAAATCCACTTCAAAATTAATATGAAGTAGTGTCTATCAAAACAGAAAAAGAAAGTAGCGATTCGGTCATAAACACTATATTTTGATTTATTCATGCAAAAGAGTACATTCAGATATTCAGTCCATCTGTCCATGGAAATTGAACAGGCCAAACTAACCTGGTAGAAAGTACCTGACAAGAAATAGCTTCAAGATTCCAATTTTAAGATAGAGAATGTTGTAGTTCATCAGTGCACCTAAGATCAATTCATCTAACTCATTTCTGAAAAAAGGGAACATAATCAAGAACATGGAACCTAGAAAAGCAAGGACAGCAGCTCGATAACAGAGGAAATCCAAAGCACAGACCACAGTAAGATTTAGAAAACAGAACATAGAGCCGAATTATATATCAAGGAGCAAAAAAAACATTCGGATTGCATAAAGCTACATAAGCGAATTTCCTGTTGGGTTCTGTTTATAGCAAATTGTCCAAATACGCCCACCCAAACAGATTTACATAAAAAAGAACAAAGGTTGCAGCATAATTATGAGCAATGTCTGAGCCAAAATAATATCAAAATTAACAGCACAAAATAAGTTGTCTATTATACTACAGAAGAAAATTAGATACTTTAACCTCATATTAATTGTACAGGTTTTACAAGAAGCAAAATGCAAAGGCCAGCAGAAAGAACTGAGAAAAGGTTAAGATTCGAGCAGCTAACTTCAACAGGTATGTCAAGTATTCCCAAATAAACCCCCAAAAAAAATTAGGGTTCATAAATCGAAAAACCACCCCAACAACCACCCTAAAGCAAGCAATCAGCCACATGCAACATTCAAACAAATCAACGAATCTAAATCCAAAGATTCGAGCAATCAGCCACATGCAAGGTTCAAACTAAAACTAAATACAAAACAAAATCAACAAATCCATAATTGGTAGACGAAAATTCAAGGTATACCTTAAATAGAGATTCGAGCACGAAGCAGCGGCGGCGAAGGAGGAGAACGAAGCAGCGGCGGCGAGGGAGGAGAACGAAGGAAGGAGCAGCAGCGAGCTAGGGAGGAGAACAAAGGAAGACTGATGAGAAGTTTGGAAAAGGGGTTTCAATTTCATTTTTGGCTCTAATATTTCAGCATTTCCCGGTTTTTTTTTTTTTACTCATCCGTTGTATTAGGTCTTATTCTTTTTTCCTTTTTTTATTTTTTGTGGCTGATCCGTTGGATTAGCTCCAATTGAAATATAAAAAAAAAAAAAAAATTCGGGAACACTATCCGTTGTGTTAGAAGAATAATCTGTTGGATTAGCTCATCTAATACAACAGATTAGTATATCTAATACAACGGTTAGTATAAACCGTTGTATTAGCCCTGTTTTAGTGTAATACAACGGATTATCCTAGTCTAATACAACGGTATGAAATTAGCCGTTGTATTAGCTATTTTTGTACCGTTGCATTAGATCAAAAATGTAGTAGTGTGATCAAAACGGTGCACATTAGATATATCATCCAACCAAGCAAACTCACGCAAAGGAAGTACATTAGGAAAAGGACTATTAGGGGCATCAGCAGGAGGGTTGGCCCTAACCTCTAATGCCAAGTGCGGATGACGAGGAGCGTGCAGCCGCAAACGGAGCAGATGAGGCATCGCAACCCCATAGTCATTAAGACCCTCTCACAATAAGGGTCAAAAGTGTCGTCATGAACCCTACCACAAAGGTAGAGATGAAAGGCGTTGGGGGCAGAGCAACCACCGCTGGGCTCCTCTGCACGGATAAAAACACCAGTGGCAAGCGCACTCCCCGTAGAAGCATCATAACCAGGGGAAAACACAACTTGGTGGGGAGTACATGAAACGGGAGAAGAAAAAAGAACACATGGCCTATGAGGCTCACCTGAACGAGCCGTCGCTTTGAATAACTTCAACGGGAATAATCAAAGTTCCTCGCTCAACCCTTCTCGTTGCTTTGAATAACTTCAACGGGAATAATCAAAGCTCCTCGCTCAGCCTAGCTCGTCGCTTTGAGTAACATCAGCAGGAGTAATCAAAGCTCCTCATCACGTCAATTCAGCACAGCAGCATCCACTAGCAGAAATTCCTAAGCCTCAAATCAACTGAACGTAAATATGAGACTCAGGGGGGATAGTTGTACGGAAACGACCTCGGTCAGCCAATCCAGTCAAGTAATGAGCCACCAGATGTCGGACACTTGAAAAGGTTGGCACGTCCCTCGTACCACCTCTTGGGGGGCTGGTTGTATGAGTAGCTCTGACAAAGCTATCCCCATGCTACGAACCCTAGCTCAGAAGAACATCTTCGCTTAGCAAGAGCTAGCTTGAGTACCTCAAACCACCTCTTAGGGGGCTAGATGTATAGGGTAGCACCCGCTGAGCAGACCCGCGCTCCCAACACCACTTAAGAGGTGCGCGCTCACGCTAGTCTAGCCCAAAAATATGTATAATCTCCTAGGGGCTCAGCCTCATGGCTGACCCTAGCGGGCTCCAACTCGGAGTCAGGGATAATCTCCCAAGGGTTCAGCCTCATGGCAGCCCAAAGCTAGGGATAATCTCCCAGGGGCTCAGCCTCATGGTTGACCCCAACGGGCTGCAGCCCGAAGTCAGGGATAATCTCCCAAAGGCTCAGCCTCATAGCTAACCCCAGCGAGCTCCATCCCGCGGCACTAAAAATAGTACAACTATAAATAGCAAGCCAAGTACAACAGAAAAGAGGTTAGACAATTACATTTCATCACTTATCCATTATTATTCACCTAAAGCTATACTAACTTAAGCATCGGGGGGGTTCCTCGAGACCACCCCCGAGGGCAATAACCACCGCTCATTGTGCAGGTAATCCTAGCCGAAGTCCAGATCTGACCACCAACCTAGCTCCGGAACTACACCCAAAACAATAATAATAATTTCTCTCGCGATTAGGGCAGGGTGGGGTAGGTTTTTTTTCCCGCGTCCTTTTTTCGGCAGCTTCTTCGGTGATTTTAAGCGCGTTCAGGTCCGACGAAGGGTTGGTGGTGGCGCATTCAGGTCAGGCATTTTTCAGGGTAGCGTACTTCATTTCGTTTGGTGCAGTTTTAAGGCAATATACAAAGTTGCGATCAATGTTTTATTTGATTTCAGCGTGGTGCTCCGGGGGTTCTATTTTGATGTGCAGTCCAGGCATGGATTTAAGGGTGGTTTCCGGCAGTCCAGGCATGGTTTCAGGGGTGTTTTCCAGTGGCTTTGTTGGTTATGTTTGCCGGTAGTAAATTACAGTTCAGTGGTGCGCATTTTTTGGTGTATTTTAGGTACACAACAGGCTTCCATTGGTAGTCTTCTATGTCAATTTTCCGGCAGTGTTAGATTAGGGTTGTTTTTCAGGCGGTTTATTGGGCGGTTTGGCTTCGTTTTGGGTCTGCTTTTTGCTCTATTAGGGTGCAGTTTTCAGGCGGTATTAAGCGATTTTTGGGTGCATTTTTCAAGCGGTATTAAGGGTTGTTTGGGAGCAGTTTTCACGCAGCTTTAAGGGTTGTTTGTGTACAGTTTTATTAGCAGTTTCTGGGGGCTGTTTTTAGGCTACATTAAAGGGCTATTTTGCTGTGGTTTCAGTTGCGTTTTGGTAGGTTTTTTCTGCAGTTTATAGGTGTTATGCCTCTTATTGTTCGCTTTCATTGTCCGTTTGTGGGTTTAATGGGTGTCATGGTGGCGAGGGGTAATGGGCTCACAAGAAGTTCTTTGCTCACTCATCTCCGTGACCGTAATTGTTATGCGGATGTGCGGGATATGACCCGAAACTCTCTTACTTTTGATTTGGCTATTTTCTCAGAGGTGAGATGATCGTTCGTCGTATGGGCATTTGTCTTTGTGGGGATTGTTTCAAGACACATACTCTTCGTTCTAAGTGTCGACATGGTCCTGGTTTTGATATTGTGGCCCCACCTAATTTTGGGGATGGTGTGGTTTGGTTTGTTCTTTATGGTTTTCCTTAACCACAAGGTCCTTCTTCAGAGGTATCTAATCTTGTTCCTAGTGTGCCTCGTGAACCTGAATTTGCTTTCAATTATGCTCTCCTTGATAGTTTACTATCTAAGCGGTTTCATTCGGTGAAATCTATCCCTCCTAAGTGTCGCTTGGGTTTTTCATGGGTTTTCAAAGGAGAGCTTGATAAGGTGATTTGCAAGCCTGATGACATCTCTTGTTGGGTTCAATTGCTTGTGTTGCCTCTTTGTGTCCTTAAAACTTTTTTTCTGCAGAGTAATTGTTAGTGTACTTTAGCTATCAAACGACAACGACAGGAAGATAGTATCACCACTGCTGTTCGTTCTTGGTGTGATCCTAGTGGTTCTGTGCAACTTGTGCGGGACACGTTGGCTGATGTGTCTCCACCTTTGTTGGATGCTGATGAGGACCATGATTTGTCTAAGCGTAATATTAAGCAATGTAAGAGAAAGATTTGTGACGGACATTACACTACTACGGTCAGGGTTCTTTCGTCTTCTGGTATCGCCCCTTACAATGAAGCTACTCTTGCAATTTTACAAGCTAAGCACCCTTCCTTTCCGGCTCCTACCTTACCGGATATCCATGTTGATCATCACCTTATTGCGACTCCCACTACTGTTTTGGACCAGATTAGGGGTTTTCCGCGTGGTACGTCATACGGTAGAGATGGCTTGCGTGCTCAACACCTTATGGATTGCTTGAGTGGTGTTTTAGTTGCTGTTTCAGATGAGTTGATGGATTTTATTACGCAGGTGGTTAATCTCTTTCTTGTTGGGAAATTTCCTACTGAGTTGGGTGAATATATTTCTAGTGCTCCTCTCACGCCACTTGTTAAGCCTGGTGGTGGTATTCGACATATTATTGTGGGTACCGTTTGGAGGCACTTGGTTTCAAAGGTTGGGCTTGCTTTAATTGGTCCATGTCTGGGAAGCTATTTAGGAGGTCTTCAGTTTGGTGTAGGGGTGCCTGCGGGCGGTGACACTATTCTTCATGCTGTTAATCGTTTGGTTGAGGCTCGTGGTGGTGATGTTGGCCTCTCTATGTCGCTGGTGATTTCCAGAATGCCTTCAATTTGGTTTATCGTACGCCTTTGTTGTGTGAGGTTCGTCTACGTTGTCCAGCTCTCTCTCGTTGGGTTGAATTCTGTTACTCTACTCTAGCTAGGATATTTTATGGGGAGCATACCTTAAGGTCATGTCAAGGAATGCAAAAAGGTGATCCTCTTGGCCTTTTGCTTCTTTCTTTGGTTCTCCATCCATTGGTGTTCCGATTCAAGGATTCTTTTGACTTATGTTTGCAGGCTTGGTATTTGGATGACGGCACTATTATTGGTGACACTGTGGTGGTAGGAAAGGTTATGGAGTTGATTTTGGCGGAGGGACCTCATCTCGGCCTCCATGTAAATGTTGAGAAAACGGAAGTTTTCTGGCTCTCGAAGGACCCACGCAGTCGTCTCGTAGGTGTCTTTCCTCCTGATATTGCTCGTCCGATGCATGGTGTTAAGTTACGTGGTGGTCCTGTCAGTGCGGATTCCACTTTTTGTGGTGAGCTTGTTTCGCATAGAGTGTCGAAGACCATTGTGCTAATGGATGCTGTTGTTAAACTTGATGATCCCCAATGTGAGTTGTTATTACTTCGTGCGTGTACTAGGGTTTCAAAACTCTACTTTGCTATGCGCACTTGTCCCCCTTGTCTTTTTGAAGCGGCCTAGCTATCTTTTGATGTGGCCCTTCGGGCTTCTTTGGAGCGCATTGTAACTGCTTCGAGGCCTGGTTTTGGTGATTGACAATGGTGACTTGCCACCTTACCTTTTTCTTATGGAGGACTGGGTGTTTATTCAGCGGGTGATGTTCGGCACCATGCTTTTCTTGCATCACGTTTGTAGCCTACTGATCTTAGGCTATGCTTCTTCGCAATTCTAGTATTATTGGTCCGGGACTAGCCTTCGATGATGCTCTTAGTCTTTTTAATAGGATTGTGGAGACTGACCTTATGAGTAACCCTAGTGAGATGGCTGCCCCCAAACTCATGAGGAAATTGGAAAATATGTATTTCACAAAGGTTACTGCATCTGCAAAATCCATTTTCTCCTTATCTCTGTGTCAAGTTGCCTTATAGGAGTCCCAGCAGGGGGATCACACCTCTGACTAGTTGCGGGAGGTCTTAATCTCGGGTTTGGGTCAGACTATGACTTGTAAGGCTTACCGTTGTGTTCTTTGCTACCGCTTAGGTGTTCCTTTGTTTTCCGTTTCAACACCGTGTTCAGCTTGCTCGAGGGTTTTTTATGGGGATATTTTTGGGGATCATGTAGTGTCCTGTGCTGGGATGGTGGGTATTAAACATCGGCATAGTGTTATTTGAAATACCCTTGTTGATATTTGTTTTCGGTTTGGGATTTCTACAAGAAAGAAGGTTGACGTTGGGTTGACTGGAGG